TTAGCTGAACCTAAGAAACGGTAAAGGGTAGACAGTATATATACTGTCTTACTTAATATGACTTAGCTGTCAATTGATCAGTGAGATAAGTGTTTAGGTAAGTAGTTAAGCCTCACCATGTCCAATGTCACTCTCCTTCTCTGCCAGTTTCTCAAAGTCCCTTATAACAGAGCGAGCAGTTAGTTGATGAATGATCTCCTCCCATGGTTCCCCTCCTCTTCCTTCTTCTCCTCCTCCTCCTCTTCCTCCACATCCCTCAACTCCTGGTATCTCCTGGCCCTCAGGGGTCCAGAGGTGCCCCAGGTCCACAGTGACCTCCCAGGACACAGGTCTGCCGCTCAACAGGCCATGAATGAGCGAGCGGCACTGGCCCGGTGGGGGATCCTCTGGTGGAACAGCAGTGAAGAGGTACTCTGGGTCTGTGAAGCTGTCCCAGTCCAGAGGAGATGCGGGGAACAAGAGTCCATCTGAGGGTCAGAGTTAGAAAAAGAGAGAGACAGGAATTTGTTAGAGGCAAAATAGGAAGGATAATCCTGCTTTTCTTAGTACTATAGCTTACTGGAGTCAGTGAGGCTCCTGTGGGACAGAGTCCCTCCTGATGGGGGCTTTGTCTCCCCATCGCTTTCGTCCAGCCTCCCTCCCAGCGTTTGGTCAAAGGAGACCCTCTCTAGAGCTCTCCTCAGGCGATGCATCTCCAGTTCGCCCTGAGGGGATGAGAAACTCCGGGCTGCCATGGTTGAACGGGCCAGAGCTTTATGTCTCCTACGACACTCTTCACCTCCATCCAGACGCACACTCTGGTTGTAAAAGAGGGGATATTGAACAGGTTCAAAAAGTAGACTTATTTTATTTTTCACTGCAACAACACGTCTATAATGATAAAAAGGTTGGGGTTATCTGTTTGTATTTGTGATATTTTGTACAACCCAGGAGTAATAAACTCATGTGAAGTATGTCTGTTGGGTGCTTACAGTACTTTGCCTCAACCTGGGATGTACAATCTTTTCCTGAACCCTTTTCAACAACCCTGAATGATGACTGTCAACTAAGAGCAACAAAGCTAGAGGTTGCACCCCTCAATACACAGCATGTCTAGTGCTATTGTTGTGTTCTGGTTTACTGTGTTAGTGGATAAATAGGTATAAAAGCTACAATAGATTTCTCCCACTATTATTGTTGCAATTTGTCACAAAGTAGTGAGTAGAAAAATCTCTTTGATTCACCGGACTGATAGATGAAAACATTTTCTGCTGTCAAACTATTTTGTAGTGGTGGTGGACATATCTTTTCATGTCATGTTCCATCTAGGTTCTGCCAGCAGGAACACAGAAAATTGCTTTAGGGGTTACAATCATTCTTACCTTTTCTGCCCCGTTGTCAGGGGTCTCCACTGAGAGGTTTTGTTGCCATGCAGGGTCTGCCCAGCGAGACAGGGATGATCTCTGTTCTGGAGGGGGCATCTTTTCAAGACCTTGGGGTAGAGACCCTGTATCCAGCACTGAACCAGAGGAGTGAGGGTCAGGCAGAAAGACCCCACCTGCAGAATCAGAGTTGGACGAGGCATGTATGTGTGAGTGAGACTGTGTTTGTAGACTCCGCTCACTGCTGAGGGAGCAGCGAGTAAGGACGTACTGCTCCTGGATATATGAGCTCTCCTGGATCCTCCTCCTCACGTCACTGGACCAGTCTATCTCCACACCTAGAGTGGATAAAAGGTTCACGTTAGGAAGTATGGCAAGAGGTGGCCAGTCTTGGATGTTGCATACTAGGCATTCACTACAAGATCCGTTGATGAGTGACAGACCTGGGCTGGTGCCAGGGTCTGTGTCTCTGGCACAGGAGAACTCAGAGGAGATTTCTCTGGAAATCTCTTTCAGTGCCTCTTCCAAGTCGGTGCCATCTGCACATGTCACCACAGGCATTAACTCAGAGGCAGGAGGAGGTGAAAGCTCATCATTTGAGTGGCCAAAAACTGAACCTGTGGAGCCACGATGTACACCTTTGTAGCCCCGTCCTTGAGACTATAAAATAAGATAGTTGGGTTAGGTATGTTTTCCTATGCAGACACACACAGACATAATTTTAAAGGCTCTAGTGATCTATACCTCTGTCTTTTTTGCTTTGAAATTCGTCATATCGTATAGGGTGCAATATCCAATTAGACGATTCCCAGGATAGAGTGGAGGGATTTCATTGGGTGAAAGAAAAGCCTCCATGTTTTCTGGCAGGTACCAGTCAATCCGTACATCAGTCAGCACGGGCTCAAAGGCCTTTTTCAGAGACTTGATTAACTGAGGAGATAGAGTGGTCACAATAATACATTTATAAATACATTTAAAAATTGAAGGCTTTACAATTTATTGTTGCAACTGAAAACCAGTAGTGAAATAGGTATTCAGATTCTTTAATGTAAAAATACTCCATTACAAGTAAGATTCATGCTGTGAAAATCTTACTTAAGTAAAAGTACAGAGGTATTATTAGCAGACATGTGCTTACAGTACAGTAAACAAATGGCACCTATGACCCAAATAATATTTTATATTCCATTATCAGTTAATACTGATTAATTAATGAGTACTAAATGTAGTTTTACTGCAGTGGCTGGTCGAGGTAGATATAGTTTTAACTAGTTTGCATACAGTAGTTTAGTCGTTTAGTCCAGTGCTCCCAATCTAGGTGTCGGACCCCCTCCAAAGAGTCACAAGATAAATGCACACAAATGTATGGAGTATTTTTAACTTTTCACAAGGGGCCACAACTAGACACTTTTTTGTAAGTGGTCAGAAGCCAAAAAGCTTGGCAGCCACTGATTTAATCTTTAACAATAAACTGCATTTTATAAACTGTTCTTTATGTAAAATCTTAATTTGTAAAATAACATGTAATGGCAGATAAATTAAGTGGAGTAAAAAGTGCAATATTTCCCCCTGAAATGTGGAGATAAGTAAAGTACGAGTACCTCAAAATTGTACATAAGTACCTGACTAATTGTTAGTTTTCATCACTGCTACTGGCTTGCGAAATGCTGAAAGGCAAATGTGAAGTACTAAAGCTGTATGTATTTATCTCTTAAAGTAAAATTATAGCTGTAATTGTTCTGCAATTCATATTTTCTCCGAGAGGTGGCAGTGCTGCAGTGCTACTGACCTTGGGCTGGAGTCTCTCCTCATCATCTAAGAACTGTGTAGTCCCTCCTGTCAGTTTGGCAACGCCCTGCAAGAGTCTCCTGCAGGCTCGGGGACCAAGGCCCAGGCCAAAGCATCTGCAGATGTGATGCAGTATATACATTATATTTTTTGAAAATGAAAATTCATTTATGGTTCCATAATTATTATGTGAGAATTGTCTTACATACTGCACTATAATGCATACAGTCAATTGGTTTTACTGTCTGCAAGTCAACAAGTCAAGTACCAGCCTCTTGCAACAATTCAGACTTGCATAAGTATCTATTTGTGAAACCGTAATGACATATATAAGCTTCCTCTGGAAAGAGAACATTTGGAGTCATCAAACAGACAGAACTGTTATTTGGGCACTCAGATGGATCACAAACCATTCGGCTAATTGAGAGTTTGAAAAGAGCAGGGGGACAGAATAATTGAAAAGGCTCAGATCTTGAGTGCTGTCTCTAAAAAGCAGGTCTGTCTGGTTGGCTGGATACTGCTAGTACTGCCTAAATAAGAATACAGAAAATCAAAATGAAATACCACAAACATGTTCATAGTGAGGGGGACAGCCAAAATACAGTGGAGAAAGTCACTCCAACAGGGGAATACAAATGAGAGATAAATGGAGTTGTTGTGCATTGCTGGAGGGCCTGGGGGAAACCGGAGGGGCGTGACTCTTACTGCAGAGGAGAGCACTTAACGGGATTACTGGGCGGGGCTGAAAAATACCTCAGCCCTTTCTTTTCTTTCTTTCACAGTGCCTTGGTCTGACTTCTTTAAGATTGCCTTTCGCCTGTGTCCCTCTCTCTTCCTCTTTTTCCTCCCCCACATGGTGCGTCTGCCATATTTATCACCTCATTCTGCCTGCACTCACTGTACCCCATTCCTCTCCGCTTCCTTGTTACCCATAGTGATTTAATGTCCTGTCACATGTCAGCCATAGATAAAGCTTTGTTAACTAGTTGTTTGAATTAATGTCCATTTTATTTGTGTTTTTCTCCTTATATCCAACTGTACCATTCTTGACACATGATTTCTATGGGTTAATTATCTAATGGCAATTTATCTTTGGCTCAATACCTGCCAGCGCATGTGTTTCTGCGGACCAGCTCCAGCACTTTAGCCACATTGCTGATGGATCCATCTGTGATAATGAAGACCTGGCGAGGATATGACCGCTGCATGGGCTGTTGGTACACCCATGACAGCGCCCCCAGCAGGTTGGTGCCTCGCATGTCAGCTCTCATCCTCTGGATGTACTCGTACGCCTGCATTAGAGTAACCTGTGTGAGAGACAGACCAGGAAAGATGCTATCAGACCTACAGTAAAACAACAACACCTGTCCAACTGCATGACGTCGCCTGTGCAAACATACACCTGTGTTGTCAAGATAAATTCACTGTTTGATATCAGATGCCCCAATTACCCTGTGAGGGTAGCAGAGAATTGAATCAGTTCGTCTCTAATAAAGAGAGAGCAAACATACACACATTAGCACCTGCTTTAAAGCCACCTCAAATCACACCATGGACAAACATGCCTGACAGGAGAGGGGATGGAATGACATCTCCTGCCTTAGTTAACATGCATGAAAGGTCACCATATGGTCGGGAGTATGTGCAAAGACTGTTTGTCCTTGCAGCCCCTGGTCTGGATAAAACCTGATATTCTGCTACTAAGGCAACCCAGGGATCTGACTTATTGCCTGATTAGAGAGTGGATGAAATAGCACAGATAGTCCTATGTAGTTAAAAAAACATCTGCTTTCAGGAAACATGATCCTAATACTCCATGTCTTTCACTGAAAATAATTTATATGTAATTAACAATAACAAATGATTTGTTTCAATGAAAAAAATATTCTAAGCACGGCCATTGTGTACTGCTTACATCAGTGCAGAGCTTGCTTGAGGTGAACAGAGGCTTGATGGTGGTGCCGAAGCCCACAATGTTGACCATAGTGCCGGAAGGGAGACTCTTCAGTGCCACCACCATGGCTTCCTGTTGAAACAAGAAGGGATAGACAGGATAGGGCCAGATAAGATGTACTTGCCTAAATCTAAAAACGTAACTCTGGTTCATTGGTGTGTTTTTATGCACGGCTGCAGCTCACCTTTACACGCTGAATGTTGGTGCCACTCATGCTGCCACTGCGATCCACAAGGAACAGCAGTTCTCTGGTTGCTTTGTGCAGCTCCAGAGGTTCACACAGCAAGTCAGGACAGAAGTTGAGCATCAAGACAGGGCTGTTCAGAATGTCCTTGTGGTATCGCTTCCTCACAAACTCCAGCTGCAGGAGTGGAACATTAGCATGTCATCTTGTGTGCACATGATGTGAGATATCAAAGGTAGATAGAGAGGTAGTAAAACAAGCGTGAGTTACTACCAACCTTTCTCTCAGGTTCTGAATCTTTACGAGTGCAGCGAATGAAATCACGGCGGGAACATATCTGCTGTTCATACTGGCTGAAAGAGAGCCTGCCTCTCTCTAATATGACCAGTGGGGTGTGAGGTTCTGTGGAAGAGGTTTGTTAACTGAAGTTGTATTTAAATATCAGGAAAATAAGGAAGAAAATTAATTCCAGTTTTCATTGCTTACCACTGAGGTGCAGAACGATCTCTATGTGTCTGTCATATGGATGCTCCTGTGCCAAGGTGATATAGGTAGCAGAGGCACTTTGGGCACTGGGGTCTGCATCTGCCCTCAGGGCGTGAGTGGGGCTCTCCAGGCCTTCAAATCAGTTTAGGGAGAAATAACCGACAGAAGCAAATTAAAAGTTTTCTATTTGCTTTTAATTGTTTTTTTATATATAAGTAATGATGCATTTTTATTTAAAATAAACACCAGTCATGCGTATTATATAGGTATCATAAGTTGAGTGTGCTTTTTCCATTTCTACAGCACATACCAGTGTGCCCCTCTCTGTAAACCCATTAATTTTATGTTCTCATAAGTGTGCCCACTATTCCAATATTTCACAGTGGCTGAGTCAAGAACCACCAGATCAAAGATATTTGAGGAGAAAGCCAGTACCAGCCAGTAGACAGGCCCCCCTGACCAGCAGCTGGAAGTTGAGTTCATAAGGTGCCAGGTTGGCAGCTGGACTGGTGAAGATGGCATGGGCACACTGCTGCTCAGAGTCTAGGGCCCGGTCTTGTTTTCCTGAGGTGGCACCGAAACAGCTGGTCGGTCTGAGAAGGAGAACAACATACAGCAGTCTTTATTGCTTCTAATTTACTGAAATGTGCAATCTCAGCTAAAATAATGTTGCCACTGTTAGTTGAGACATAAATACCCATTTTCTTCAGATTTCCCCCCGTTTTCACTCTTGCTTGAAGTCATCTGACCAGTGACGATTGGAGTAAGCAATGAGGGGTAGACGATGCGGATTGCTCCATTTTCTAATGTGGGGAGTTCTAGTGTGGTGCTTATGACAACAGACACTATATCCATGGGACCAATGACGCCTGTGCCAATGATGAAAGTGGTTCTTTCAAGGTCTTCGTCCAGGATGAGATGTCCTAAAGCAGAAATACAGCAGTCACTCACTTCATGAAATAATTCAAACAGACATAAGGGACCGTACAAAAGTGACTGGGGTGGAGAAGAGGGTTTGAATTGCATCTTTTATTTTTATAAAAAAGGAAAGCCCTTCCCAGTATTATCAATATTGTTTTGGACCTTCTTTTTGACAGTGCAATGCTCTCTCACATTATCTCCAAATGACATATTTATGGCAAACATATCAAAATAGTGGAATGGCTTTTTGTTTTTTTTTATTAATACCACAAGAGGTGAATTATATAAAATAAAATCCAAAGTTAAAACACTACTCTCCCTCCAGAAAAAACTAAATACAGTCCCAAATATAAAATAATTCATGCCTTGAAATCAAAATAACCTAAAGCTGCAAAAGGTTTACTTGAATATGTGCACTGTTGGCTGTATTAGAGAAAGGACTCCATGTGCATGATAACACCATTTCCAATAAAATACTATGGACTTCAAGTTGATATATGTTTGTACTAAGTGAATGCCATTTCACCATTAGGCAGGCAGCCAAATCTATTTGCCTCCCTCGTCTGTCCTGCCTAACCTTAGTGAGGCTAAAACAGGACAAAGACAGGACTGACTGTAGCTATATTTGTATTCATGCAAAGACCAGATCACTGCAGCAGTAGATGACAGTATGCAACAGTTCAACCAGTGGTTGAAATGATTTGTGGTTCTACTGCATTATGGTACAAATTACAGTTGTTATTTACAAGCAAAATACAGGAAGTCTCACCAGCTTTAATTTTCGGAGAAAGCTAAAAGTGAACCCTCTGTTATGGGCATTTCATAAGCTTGTGTTCAGATATTCTTCATCAGGTCTGGGTTTTGTAAAGCTTTAGTGTCTGTAGAACAGAGGACCAATGACTAAAGGTTAGGGCAGTGGTTCCCAAACTGGGGGTTGGGACCCCCACTAGAGGTCGCCAAAGCTTCATGGGGGCGTTGCGAGGCCTTCTTGAATTTAATGGGCGTATTTTTAAAAATATATTCACTATACATATTTCAGCATCTTGATTTTAAGCTATATTCACAGAACCTTCACTCTCTGAAACAACCTTGTCCTGCATTGGAAAATATGCAGTTAAAACAACCAACAGAACGATGAGAAGAAAACACTGGATTTGTCAAAAAAAAAGCATATTAAGTATGTATGATTGTTAAAAATACATAATACAGACAGGAAATTGTATACAAAGTTTCCTAAAATTATCGTATTTATTAGTAGGTTAGCTGAGGAAAATTCAAAAGCATGGGTAATGTGAATGCTCATGAATGCATATCTAATTTCTTACTTTTGAGGATTACCATATCAGTTAATTATACTGGCACAGTAACATAATGCTCCTTCACAGCACTCCTTCATCCTCCCTCCTCACCGTTGGTGCATTGTATGTCGAGGCTGGAGCTCCCACAACAGCCCCACTCACGGCCATTCCCACATTGGCCTTCAAGACCAGATCCAGGGCAGCAATCCAAACAGCAGTCCTTCAATTTCCCTCGGCTCTGAATCTGGACCCCAACCAAGCGGCCCGCAATCACAGCCTCAAAGCCCACCACAACTTCCTTTTCCCCGAGAGGGTACACAAACACACCTAGATGACGGAAAGTATTTGACACACAAAAACAATGATTTCAGGCTTTTTCTTCAATTGAGAAAGCAATCTAACAACTCAACATGTAGCATACAGTAAAAAAAAATATTTTGTAAGAGCATAATGAAGGTCTGCTTCGCCAATTCCCAGATTTTTGACTTAGTTGAATGTTTTCATTGTTGTTGCTTTGGACAAAATCATCTACAAAATGAGTTTACTGTGGCTAATTTAAAAAAGAAAGTTCACATAGTTTTATTTAATTTGGTCATTATTAACCTTATTAATTGTATTAACCAACTTCCAACAAATGACTTTTAGTTTTATAACTTAATCTCAAATGAAAGTGTAACTGGATTGTAAGAAATTACATTTGTTCTTTTATTTAAACATGCCATAGTTCTGACCCAAAGGAAAAAAATAAAACCACTAATGCTTAGCCCACATTAAAACAATCTTATGATGATAAATCTAAGTTCAATCTATTTTCACCCAACTTTCACAAGCCCTTTTGCTTTCAAACATGACAGCATATCAGACAATACTGAACTGGCTGCTATAATATTAGGTTATTATTGAGTTATTATTATTATTGATTGAGTAAAGTGGGCTAGCTATATCTATAGCTATCTATCTATTTTTCTCTTCCAATTCAAAACAATCTCATAAAAATCTTCCTTTTCTTGATTTGATGACATATGGAGTCATATGACATCAAATGTAACTAGTATTATTACTTGTATTATTGAGTGTATCATCCCACTACTCACCTTCTACAGACTCTATGTCAGCATTGGCATAGGTAAGCTGTGCGGTAATGCCCAAGGAGCAGCCATTGGCACAGGACTTGATGGAGGACGCCTTGAGTAGCAATGGTTCCCATGTAGAGCAGTTTCGCAGTCCCACCATCTTCCCAAGGCAGCAACGAGCCTCTATTCTACTGGTTGCATGAGAACACAGGTACAGAGACCAGTGAAATGGCCTGAGCAGACAGGAAGAGGAATGTGTGAGTGTGCATTTAAATTCTCTAATTTTCCATTCACAGCACAATCACAGTTATCTCTATAAATCAGACCTGTTTTTTTCATGCATTGATTAATAGCATCTAAAATGTCCATTGGTTTCACATTTTTTATGTATATATGCAGATATCTGTTTATACGCATCAGCCCTTGGACATGTAACCAAGCTATCTCCTCCCCTGAGGCTCTTAGCAACCAACTGTGATAGTTTGAGTGTAAGAGGTTTGGTCAATCATTAACATTGCAGGTCAGCACTTACTACACTATGCATCATGCCTAACATATGCAATCAGTGGCCAACCTCTATGCAAATCCACGTGAATTTACGACTACTGTCTTACTCTTACTTAACTGCACTTTTAGATAACCATAAAGAGAGCTGGATGGTAAGAAATGGTAGACTATTACTCTTAAACTTGGTACCAAACCACCAACTAATCCCAGTTTCCTTCAGAGTTTCCATTTATGTAACTCAAGTGGTATGCAGTAATTCTTCATGACTACTTAATAACTTTAAGTGCAGCAGGTGCAGAGACGAGTGTGCAGATCACAGCTTAGTGAGCGGTAGACTGCACAAAACTGTCTGTGTATGTATGCATGTGTGTTTGTATATGCACACATGCGGGCGTTTGTGCGCGTGTGTGTGTTTGCCATGGTCCAGGTAATGGTCTTTTCACATCTACCTTTCTAACAAGATCAACAGCCTCCATCTGGCTACTGTGCTCTCAGCTCATAACAGGCAAATAAATGCCTGGTTTGTTAAAGTAGGGCAAACTGATGCTGTACAAACAAAAGGAAAAGTACAACATAGCACCCCTCTGTAGACTGCTGAGAGGCTGTGGCAAAGCTGATGAATAAGCCTGACAGACTGACTGTTCAGCTTTTTATCAATGATAAAAAAAGATAGATAATGACTTCTTTACACATTATTACTTGGTTGTGTGTGTGTGTGTGTGTGTGTGGTGTGTGTTGTGTGCGTGTAGCATGTCATTTGTATGGTGTGTGGTGTGTGTGTATCGTGGTTTTTAATTCACTTATTACAGTATAGTCAACATATGGTACAGAATGAATAATTATAAAGTAATCACATATGCACCTACTACCTTTGATAAAGTTCTGTCTGAAACTCAAATGCAGATATTTACAAAAAACATTCAGTGGCACATTTTGGCACAAGCTGCTATAGCAGCTGTTCTCTAAAACATATTCAAAGTAAATTCAAATCTCACGGAGTGAAAATTGAGTACTTCCTCTGTGATGTTTAATCATTCTCTCTGGGTGTTTGCAGTAGCATAGCTGGCCAAGACTTAGCTCTGGGCAACACTGCAGTCCCCTTATGTCAGTTTAGAGCTCCAGATAACAAGCAAAATAATCATCCAGGAACACTTACTGTATTGTTCAGTGCAGTGTCTGATAACCTGCCTCTGTGTCCAGTCTCTGCATCACTCCACCATCACATCTGCTCGCGGGTTTCCCAGTGAGACAACGGTAGGAGTTTTCCTGGTAACAGATACTGCTCTCTCTCGTCTCATCGTACTCATCATTCCAAGGTCCTCAATACGATCTCGTCCCGCACGATCTCTTCTCTCTCTCTGTCTCTCTCTCCGCTCTTTTAAAATGTCTGTCTCTCGTTCTTCCTCTCTCTTTCTTTCTCTCTCTCCACAAATCCACCAGTTACCATATAAAGAAAAAATTATAATTTCCCAGAGTAGTCATATATTCAGAGATATGATATTACAAATATAGTTCAAAACAGTATCTATGTAGAATATCATCTATATATATATTAACAAATAATTGCTTGTTTAGCCTACTGACCAAAATCTTGAGTAACTACATAGGATGTATCAGTCAATCAGTATATACAAATTGAAATGCCCCTTTCATGAGAACCTGGAAATGCCACTGCTGTGATCAATCACCAACATGCAGCTCTGCACTAACCCACATTTTCTGTTAAGTGAAATGTCGTCTGCTTACCTGCTCTGACCTGAACCACAGAGCTGATCAGAAACTATGATCCCCCTGAACATGCTATTCAGGCACAAGCTAACACACAAGTGAGGCAGAGCCTGCTTTTCATCCAGACAATTGGCTGTGATGGTAGCAGCACCATAATTCATGGCTAATGGCTTGGCCAGAGAGAGGAGGGAGGGTGATGTGTTCTGCCTCTTCCAACAGGTCAGTCAGTCAGTCAGACAGCAGCAGCAGGCGTGGGTAGGTGAGACCAAAGAAGCAGCAGCTTTTTGTCTTCTGTTCTCCATTTTAATGGATCCAATGCTACAAAACTTGGGGTAAAAAAAGTACGACTACAGTTTTAAAACGAAATAATGAGAATATGGAGTGCCAAGCAAGTAATAATGAGATGAGACTCTGACTAACTATTTTGCTGTTATTTTGCTGAGTGTTGAATTCATTATTCATATTTTAGAAATGTAATGAATTTTAATCAAAGAAGAAATTACTTTTCTTATGTTATTGTTTGATTACTATACCTAATTTAATCTACTATATATAATCTTGACATAACAAAATAAAATAACTGACTATTAATTTATTTATTAAAGCTGCATCACAGACATAGATGAGCAGTCTGAAGTTGTATAATCAATTTAGTATGTTATTACTACATCTAATTTAATTTTCCTTTATTTTGCTTGTTATAAAAATAATGTATGATTTGTTTTAAGGTGGAAGCTCCCATTGCTGTGATTTTAGTGTGCCACAAGATGAGAGTAACATCAATGCCATGTGGTTTCCATGTCAGTCACAGACATGGAGGTAACAGACCAAATCACTTAACAGATAATTAGTATAATGAGCAACGAGAAATTGCCTACTCCAGGTAGTGGAGTACAGTGAGACATTATTCAGATTGTCATCACTATTTAGCAAGTGTGTGTGTGTGAGAGAGAAAGAGTGATCGAGTGAGTGAGAGAGACAGAAAGACACAGATAAAGGGGCAGCGAAGTTCAGAATAGTGGAATAACCTCTTTTGAAATTTCAGGTAGGAAGCACTCTGCTGTTTATTTTGATGTTCATGTTGTGCCTCAAGCTTTTATTATATCATATATTGAATCCTATTTTTCATAAAACACATCTAATGTACTCCTGCACTTTAAATTAAGTAAGTGGTGCAGAATTAACACATATATCATTAAAGGTTTATCACTAAAGTAAAGAGTGTTTCTTTATTTGTGTGTGTGTGTGTGGTGTGTGTGTGTGTGTGTGTGTTGTGTGGCGGAGAGTGGAGAGAGAGAGAGAGAGAGAGAGAGAGAGAGAGAGAGAGAGAGAGAGAGAGAGAGAGAAAGAGGTTGGTCAGTGTTTCTAATCTGTGTCCCACACTGCCTCCATGTGGCTTTTTTCATTTTCATTATCTAATTATGTCATGGTAAATTATGATATTTAATAAAGGTGTAAAAATTGTGCAGCTTTATATAATCATCTTTTCCTGTTAACCTGCTAGACATTTCCATCCTAATAATTTCATCACATTCTTGTCAATTACATTCCTCACCATTTAAAACAATGTCTCTTGTGAAATTTGTTCTAGTTATTAAGTTCATTAAACTTTGATCCTCTTGAACTGATGTGTCAGGCTCAGTTTGCACATTTTGTCTGTTTGAGTCTGAAAAAGTCTTTTCCTGGATATAAAAGGGCGGTGAGTGATTAACATTAATTATAAAGTGCATAAATGAGGTTATAAGAAAGTGACATGTAAGACTACTCTTGCATATTTAGTTCACCCAAAAATGGGTCAGTAGTATTTGCATGTTATTACTTTACTTTTGCTGCTTGACTTCAGGCAATAAGGATCATTATGAAATAAACATGAAATGGATAAGTATTCCTTATTCCTTACTCCATCTACTCATGAAAATTGGAAAACTGCCTTTGCCATGCTAGAATAAAATAAAATAAGCTGGGTATCTTATACTTAGTACTGACTGAAAAATAAGTGGGTATATACTATACCTCTGTATCACTAAAAAACTGTACTGTACTAAAAAAAACTGATTGACAGCTATCTAATACTTTTTTGAAATGTATTAAAATTGAATTGAATGAATAAATAATTGTGTACATAATAGACATCCAAAACATAAAGATCTATACATTACTAGTACCAATTTAAATAAGAAGTCAAAAGGTTGTTTGCTCTGCATCTTCATCAGGGTATATAAATAAATCCCAGTAGAAAAATAAATGTTTCCTGACTGTCCTGTGTTGTGTTATCCTGTTGTTTCAGGTAGTTGTGTTCAAGTCAAAGCTGAAGAAATGAATGTGCAGTATGAGATGTGGATGTGGTAAAATGTCCAGAAGCAAACAGGTCAGGAGACATACTGAACTTTAACCTAACTACCCTTCCTCCCTTATCTCTCTTCTTATTTATCTCCTTTCCGCTCTTTTCTCCTCTTCTTCCTACCAACAACTCCAGCTTTCGCCTCCATGATGATGGATTGATGATGGCTTCAATGACTGGGAGCTAAACTGCATAGCTGGCTCAACTTTGTAGAAGCAGCTGAAGTAACATAAAGAGTTGAATGTTGTGTGCGAGTGTCAAACTGCACTAATAAACTGGTTGGCTGGTGTTTCTGTCGCTTAGAAGCTTATAGAGTGAAAAGTGCTTTCATAGTTAAATGTCTGCAGTACATTTTCATACATTCTGATTTAAAAATCATGTATCTGGAGTAAAAATTGTGAAAATGAGAGCAAATTGAGGAGAAGATTTTAAGATTAGGGTACAGCTCTTCTCCACTCTTTTATGTAACGAGCTTTGAATATTCTGCCCCATAAACACTAATACAAAACTCTCAAAAGAGCTGAAAATTGCATGCATTTTGAATTGTGTAAAAAGAAAGACATGAAAAGGTTGTTCTATGTGAA